TTTTGATACAGTGACTCTGTGTACTCCTTCCATCTTCTTTTGATACTTCCTGGATCATTTCTCATTCTACCTAAACTATCCTTAAGTATTGCCACCCAGAGCTTGAATTTGTTTTTCAACTCCTTCAGCTTAAGAGACGCTGAGCAAGTTTGGCCCTTTTGATTTTCTGGCTCCAGCTCTCTGCACATTTCATTATAGTATCTTGCTTTGTTGTCCTGAGCTGCCTTTTGAAATTTTCTGTTCAGCCCTTTGATTTCTTGATTTCTTCCTTTAGCTTTGGCTTCTCGGCACTCTAATGTAACACTCAGAGTCTCATCTGATATCCATCTTTGTCTTTTCTTCTTCTTCAGCCTTTGTAATGATCTTTCGCATTCTTCATGGATGATTTTCTTGATATCCTCCCAGAGCTCATTTGGTCTACTCTCACTGGTGCTCAAGGTCTCCAACAAAAATACAAACTTCAAATTCACTGTTGTGGATCTGAAACCTACTTAAAATACACCCTCCTGAGGGTTTCAAGGAACTGAATTAGTGCTGGAGAAAATACCTCCAACTCCCATCACCACCAGCAGAGCAGCTTGTGGATTCAAATCGTCCATCCTTGAGTTGGCAGCACATTTCCTATCCCTAGATCACCAAGGGTAGTCTGTTCTTTATTGTAAGTAGAAAAAATAAGCCAACTAGTAAAAAACAAAACTCAAATTCATTACCATCAAGTCAGAACTGACTCACAGTTGATCCTCCAGTGAGATTTTGAAGGCTATCAATTGTATGGAAAAGATCGTTAATGTTTCTCCAGGAGCTGCTGGTATATTCCATTTTCCAGAGAAGAGCTTCCTTTGGGTTAACTCCTTCAGGTCTACACTCAATCAAGTAGCAAGTTTGATACCTTGCTTCACACATGGATTAATGTAATACAGGAAAAAATATTTGAATAACTAAATAAGAAGGTTCATGTTATATAGGATGGAGGGATATGATTTACCATAAGAAATATTGTAGAATATAAAGAGTGATGAATGCAAAATTGAGTCACTAAGCATTCTATCAAACACATAACAGATACCAATAAATACATAACAGATATTACAACACAAGTTGAGTGCCATGTTGCTTTTTTTTTTCATTTTCCTTTTTAAAATTTTATTTTATACTGATTTGTGTACAAAGTTTGTAGACACTGTTTTTCACACAAGATCTTTCCCATTTCCTTCACCCCCTACATGCATCAAGTTGAGTGACCCTATGATTAACACTCGCCCTCCTGGCTTGGATATCCTTACCCCTCTGCTTCCACCATCCCCCTTCCCTCAGATCCTCATACTCATTTTACAATAATGGTTTTATACAATATTTGTCCTTATGGGACTGAGTTAGTACACTCAGCATAATGCTCTCCAGTTCCTTCCAAGTTAGGTAGTAATTTAAAAAATCATTGCTCCTGCGTGCTCCATCGTAGTCCATTGCATGAAATGTATGACAACTTCTCAATCCATTCTCTTGTGTTTAGAAACCTGGGCTGTTTCTATGTTCTTGTGTTGGTGAATAACACTATTTATTTGAATACTTATTTTTAGGATGTCTCTAATCTTGATTTTGTCCGAATGCCTAAGTCCAGTATATTTTTGTTTTGCTGTTTTTTATTAGGTCTACAATATAATAGTTTGGTTTTTGCTGCTTTTGGATGGTGGTTCTGATAGACAAGGGAAGTTTTTGAGGTCATGTTTGATGTGTATTATTGCTCTTTTCCTCTCAAGAGACGGTGTCCTTGAGTCTAGGGCAGAAGTCTGCTCATAGGAGTGGCTTTAAACTCCACAAGTTTTAAATTTACTAATTTTTGAATGAATATTCCTTGGATGACACAGCAGTCTTTCATCGCTTTGCTGAACTGAACAACTTGGTGTTGCTGTGATGTGGCACACTGTTCCATAGCCTTGTGAAATACCGTAATGGTCACCCCGTATGTAGAGCATTGGGATGAGCTTCCAGATTGATTTATGCTGGGAAGCAAGAGCGGCATCCACTTCCTAAACTATATGCCTCTGGAAACTCTACAAACTCTTTAAATTCTATAAATCTACAGAAATTATGGTAGTTATAGAACAGAGTTCTGTACAGAAATTATGTTAGTTATGGAACAAAGTTTAGGTCTTTTGTGCAAAACTTACACTCAGTTGTATTTGACTTGATGACACTTAACCACTGATAAGTGAAATTAGTGCTGTTATATCTGGAGGAACACTCTTCCACTTTATACATCACTCTTTGTCAATGTGCAGTATGAAGTAGTCTGGGTTGCTGTGATGCTGAACCTTGTACCATTGGGGTATCAAACACCAGAATGGTTTCCCAATGTGGACAGTGTTTGGTGGAGCTCACAGTTGTAAAACAGTTTGGAAGGAGGAATGGCATCCACTTTCTAAACCACATACCTCTGGAAACTCTATAAACTTGGAGAAATGATGATAGTTACGGAAAGGTGTTCGATCTTTTGTTCATAGAGTCGCTATGAGTCACCCCCAATACAACAGCAATCGACAATGGCAACTACCATATAATAATGTGATTGGCATATTTCTCAACATGTAACAACTATCAAGTACATTGAAGGTTAACATCTAAATTATCAAGCAAACACATATTTTCATGGATGTTCATGTACTTTTTATGTTGTAAATTAAAGCAGTTATGATCAGGTTAGTTTCATAGCCTATCTAAACCAGTGAAAATACAGTCAAAGTTGGATTTTATACTAGCTTAAATATTTGTACTATACCAGTGGATTCTGAGTTATGCATTTAGACAAGACACAGAATTTATTAAAGTTATTTTTTCCTCTATACCATCAAGTCAGAACAGAACCCTTACTGACCCAAGATTTACACTGCCAGATACCTGGTGGAGAGTTAATATGAGTTAGAATAATTTAAACATAAGTGTTTAGATGGGTTTTTGGCGGATATTGCTCTTTATTTGTAGGGTTGGTGGTTGTAAAGGAATAACAAACATATTACTGAATAGGATATTAAAAAAATCACATAAAGCTTATTAAAATCCCTATGTTTAGGCTTCTTCCACTAAAATTTTGAGTCCTAAGTTCTAAGGTGCTGGAGAAATAGCTAGCTATTTCTTATGATGAGTCAATTTAGGTAACACTGTTAAATAGAAGCTTTTCCAAAGAAATAAAAAATCTGATTTCCCCCAATCATCTCTCCCTTTTGTGGAGCAGTTAATATTGTTAGAAAGTTAGGAAGACAGAAAGATTTTAACTTCTTTATGTGTTTAAGAAATTGAAGTTCAAAATTTATTTTTTTCAAAATAGCATTAGAAATAAATGTCAGAGTAATAGAGAAACTATTTTAAGGCAAAAGCAGTTATCTCTCCTGCTTAATCATCAGCCTTCTTCCCAGCACTTTCCTCAGAGCCCCTAACACTTCTTTATTTCTTAGGCTGTAAATCAGGGGATTCAGCATTGGGGTGATGAGAACATCGAACACAAAAAGTCTCTGGTCCACTTCTGCAGGGAGGGATGAACCTGGAGTCATGTAGATAATCATGGCTGGGCCAAAGTAGAGGCTCACCACACTGAGATGGGAGGAGCATGTGGCCAGAGCTTTGTTCTTTCCCTCAGGAGAGTTCATGCGAAGGACAGTGAGAAAGATGAGAATGTAAGAGGTCAAGATGAGTCCAAAAGGAATAAGCAGAAAAGTGATACCTGACACTAACACCACTTTCTCATAGGTGGAAGTATCCTCACAAGCCAGCTTCAGAAGAGCCATGACTTCACAAAAAAAATGGTGAACTTGCCTAGAGCCACAGGTAGAAAAATGCATGGCATAAATTGTGTGCATTAGGGAGATAAGAACACCTCCAGTCCATGAGCTCACAGCCATTTGCACACAGACTCTGGAGGTCATCAAGACTGGGTATCTCAGAGGACTACAGATGGCCAAATAGCGGTCAAAGGCCATAAGGGTCAACAGAACACACTCAGCTACTCCTAACATCAAGTATAGAAAGATTTGAACTCCACAGCCGATGCGGGAGATGCCTCTGTGTCCTGAGAAGAAGTCAGCAGCCATCTTGGGGACGGTGGTAGAGATGAGTGTGAGGTCCATGAGGGAGAGCTGGCTGAGCAGGAAGTACATGGGTGTGTGGAGGTGGGTATCGCTCCAGATCAGCAAGGCCAGGATAGAATTTCCAGTGGTGGCCACCATAAGAATCAGAAGGATTATGGCAACAAGAAAACCAGGATGCTGAGAGTCTGAGAAGAGACCCAGGAGAATGAAATCGGTGACTGTGGATTGATTTTCTTGCTCCATGTCTAAATATGCAGGTACATCTGGACAATCATCAGAGAAGAACCACACAGAGTAAGAACTTTTCACTTCCTGTGAAAATACGTCACTGGTATGAATCAATTTCTAATGTTTAATAAGAGAATAAAATAAGTATTTCAATATATTTTGAAAGAATTATAGCTTTGCATCTAAGGGAATAACAAATGACCACATGGATGGTATGATGGATCATGGGTAAAAATTTCATGACTATAATTTATGGCCTGGTCAAAAATGCCTTGAAAGTGGCTTGGACTGAATTTGGACCGTTTCAGACATTCCAAATGATAAATCAGTCAATGTGGATTCATTAGAAAAATAGTGTACCTGAGAAATTAAAAAAACTAAGCTTTTGTATCAGAAGATATCATGTTTCAAGTAATTGTGCCTACAAAAGTAGTTTGATTTCTGTTTTTCCATCGTGCTACTTTATTCCTTGCAAGAAACATATTTTATAAAAGCAAATCATTTATGAATATTCTGCGCCCTCTCGTCTCAAATGTTAGTCTTGGGATTTTTTTTACACTTTTAAAAAATTTTATTTTATTAATTTTAATGAACATTTACAGAGATTTTGGATTTCCATTCATTCATTTTTGCATTTTTCTCCCTGCCCAGACCTCCCCCCTCCAAGTTTGCTCCTCTCTTTGAAAAGTAAAATTCTTTCTTTGGTATACAATTCCCCCGCACCCTCCTCCACCACCCCGAGTAAACTCCGCTATGCACCCTTAGTTCTGGACTCTTGTAATAACCATAATACCCTATCATATATCGCTTTTAAATTATTCTCTCCCTCATAATTTATCCAGTATTTATTGGTCTTGTTTTCATAATTGCTTTTGAAGACATAAAATTGAATTTTTTTCTGTCTTATTAGATGAAATTTATTGTTGTTGCATCAGAACTGTTCCTGAGGAACTTCTAGAGGGCTGCCACCCTTGAGTTAGCACTTAAACATCCTGTGCTCGATGTATGCAGAACACCTCATTACGGACGCTGTTGTTAGATGCTGTCAAATGGGTTAGTACTCACAGTGACCCTATGAATAACAAATCTGCACCTTGCCCTATTCTGTGACATCTGCATGATGTCTCTGACATGCTCAATTGTTACAGTCACTATATCAATCTATCTCCTTGGGGGCTGTCCTCTCTGTCACTGACCTTTCCCAGAAAGAAGTTTTTTTCACAGGACTGGCGCTCCTGATATCATGCCCAAAGTATGTAAAGTTTCACCATCCTCACCTGTAAAGTATACCGGGCTACATTTTCTCCAAGACAGATTTGTCTGTTCTTTTGGAAGTCTGTGATAGATATAAATATTCAATACTCTTTGCCAACACCACAATTCAAATGATCAAGCATATTTAAAAAAAAAGTATTATGGTCACAGAGGAATCTTGATATATAATCACGAAGAAAAGGATTTGCAGATACGAAAAATAAATTTGCTGTTGGTGGTGGTGTTGTTAGCTGTCAGTGAGTCAGCTCCTGGTTCATAGGGACCCCTAAGCACAACAGAACAGAGATTGCCAGGTCTTTAACTATCCCCATGAATATTTGTGAGTCAGGTCATCATAAACTTTAGGATTATATTGGACTAATTTTTAAACAAAGACCTTTAGGCTTTTATTCCTTTTCTGGAAGCTTACTAAAGCTGTTCAGAATCATATCACCTCACCGCCTCCACTGATAGATAATTGTTGGTTTCCCATGAAATGCGCTGTCCTGGAGTCAAATCTGAGTCTTTGACAGAGAAGGTGAGAATTCTATTATTGAACCACCAATAGCCTTATTGCTTTGTTACTATGTATTTTAAGACATCTCATCAGGATTTGTAACTCACCACAACTGTACATTGCAGTATTTACAACATCATGAATATAACAAACAGGTGATTTGACATTCTGAATATTTTATTAACATGATTCCAAGCTTATACAAAATGATGTTCGTTCAGCCTTTACCTGAATGATAAATACAGTACTAATTATTTTGTCCTCAATTTTTTTCTCTGTCCACTTTGAAAAAACATAATAACTAGAAGCAATTCAAATAGAATTTTTCCAAAGGACCTTCTACAAGACTTTTTGTGACAGGCATATAAAACATACCTACACTATCCCACATTTGTCGATATTTATATTAGTTTATTGTTGTTGTTATGTGCTATTGAGTCATATGCAACTCAGAATGACCCTATGTATAATATACAAGTTCTGAAGCCTGACCTATCCTGAGCCAGTCTCACTGACTCTGATACACCTATGCCCACTGCCCCAGTTATTGTGTCAATCCATCTCATCCAGGGTCTATTTTTCTTGCACTGTCCCTCCACCCTTCCAAGCAAGATGTCCTTCTCCAAGGACTGGTCTGTCCTGGCCACATGGCCAAATATCAGATGGAACATCAAAATTGAAACAGGTGAGGGGAAAAGCTGTTTAAAAGGGATATGTGATTAGGTATTTTTGTCATGACAGGAGTCCAGAATGAAGGCTGCATAGTGGAGTGGACCTGGGGGGGGGGGGGATTGTAAAACACTGAAAGAATTTTTTTTTTACTTTTCCAAGAGGGTAGTGCACTTAGAGGAGAGAGTTTGGAGTGGAGAAAAGTGCAAGAATGAGTGAATGGAAATCCAAAGTCTCTGTAAATTTTCATTGAAATTAATAAAATATTTTTTAAAAAATTCTACCCTTCAAGAAGAAACTTGGTTTCACTCTCTCCAAGACAGAATTATTTGTTCTCTTGTTGGCCCATGGTATGTTCAAGACTCTTCTGCACCAAATTTCAAAGGTATCAATTATTCCATTATCCTTAGTCATTGTCCAGCTCTTTGATGCATAGCTAGTAATTATGAAGATCACAGCCTGGAACAGGTGTACCTTCGTCTCTGGAGAGGTCCCTGACAGCAGAGTTTCCCAATGCATTTTGTCTTTTGATTTTATGACTGCTGGTACCTAGAGTGTTGATTATGGGAATGAGTAAGCTGTACCTGTTAATGACCTCAAGCTTTTCTCAATCTATCATGGTGCTGCAGTTAATCAAGTGGTGAAATCTTTGTTTTCTTGATGTTGAACTTCAATCTATATGGAAGATTGCAGTCTTCTGAAGCAAGCACATCAAGTCCTCCTAAGTTTAAGCAAGCAAGGTCGTGTCATCTGTATAATACAAGCTGTTGATGAGTCTTCCTCCAATCTTGATGCCACATTCCTCTTCATAAAGTCCAGCATCCTGAATAATCTGTTCTGCATAGAGTTTGAAAAGATATCGAGACAGGACGCATCTCTGACACAATCCTTTAATGATCCTGAATCATGCGGTATTTCCTCACTCTGCCTGGGGACTGCTTCCTTGTCTAACTATAGAACTCTGAAAACCTTGGAGTTAAAAATTATTGAAAAATTTTAGCCTAAATTCTTTACTGTATAAATGTTGAGTGAGACTTATGGCCAGTGATTAGAGGTGTCATTTTTTTTTTCTATAAGTACTAAATGAAATTAAGAATTTTCTTTTGATATGATTTTGTCAGATATTGCTTATTGATTAGCAACTAGATTTCTCTGGTATAAAACCAAAATAAGCTTAAAGTACACACTAAAGAAATCAGAGCTATGACATTAACAGATATATGCACAGTTATGTTTATCAATTATTAACAATATCAAAGAGATATGTAGAAACAGACCATGTGACCATAAACAATTTAATGGATAGAAAAACTGTGATATAATACCACAAAAGAATGCTATGCAGCATTGAAAAATTATGAACTCATAAAACACTCCACAAATAGTTAGGGAGATATTATGCTGACTGACTATCTCAGTCAAAAGGGACAAAAACTACATAAGCCCACTATTGTAACAATAGAACTGTGATGAGGCTGGGGAGAAGAGCAGGAAAAGAATGGGTAGATAATGAATATTGCACTAAAATGGATGAAAGGAAGGAAAATCTGAAAGGAACAGAGAATCAGAAACTATGTATGTGACAATAGCCTAGAACAGGTTAATTGTTGCAAAGAGAAGCCCAGGAAAATATAACCGAATAGTTGAATGAAACAAACCTCTTTGTAAACCTTCATTAAAATGAAAAACAATAGGGAAAAGAAAAACATATGCACATATAAAAAACAGTATTTTTAAAATATAAAAACCAGCACAAAACAATAAAGAGTGAGGAGAAAATAAATAGCAAAAAAATCACTTTTTAAAGAATTTTTTGTTGTTATTAGAGCAACAGCATTTTAATTGCTTTGCCTTTAAAATATAAAGAATTAAAATAATTTACAATAGTTTTGAAAATTACAGGGAAAATAATTATATGAATAATTATTCAATGAGTAAAAATACATATTTAGTGCTGCTTTATATTACTTACAAATAACGTAGAAAGATGTTAAAGAATCTTTGTTGTTGTTATTAGAGCAACAGTATTTTAATTGCTTTGCATTTAAAGCATAAAGAAATAAAATAAATTACAATAGTTTTTAAATTAATATGGAAAATAATTGTTGTTGTTGTTGTGTGCCATCGAGTCTCTTGCAACTCATAGCAACCCTATGTACAACAGCCCTAAACCCTGCTCTATCCTGTGCCAATTGCACTGTCTCTGACACACCCATCTCGATTACCCCAGTCACTGAATCCATCCCCCTCATACAGGGCCTTCCCCTTCTGTGCTGTCCCTCCACCCTCCCAAGCATGATGTCCCTCTCTAAGGACCCGTCCCTCCTTTCAACGTGTCCAAAGTATGTCAGACGAAGCCTCAGAATCCTTGATTCCAAGGACCCAGCCGGTTTAACCCTCTCGGTTTAACTCTCACCAAGATGAACCTGTTTGTTTTCTTGGCAGTCCACGGTACCCTCAATACTTTTCTCCAGCACCACAGATCAAAAGCATCAATTCTCCTTCTACCTTCCCTAGTAATTGTCCAACTCTCTGATGCATAACAAGTGATTGCAAACACCATGGTATGTAACAC